GACTTAGGTGACTTAGGGGAGAGCAACTTCAGCAGTCCCCTGGGGGTGTGGGTGACTTGGAGGTCAGCAGCTCCAGCAGTCCCCCGGAGGTGTGGGTGACTTAGAGGTCAGCAGCTCCAGCAGTCCCCCGGGAGCGTGGGTGACTTAGGGGTAGCAACTCCAGCAGTCCCCCGGGAGCGTGGGTGACTTAGGGGTAGCAGCTCCAGCAGTCCCCACGGAGGCTGTGGGGGACTTAGAGGTCAGCAGCTTCAGCAGTCCCCCGGGGGCGTGGGTGACTTAGGGGTAGCAGCTCCAGCAGTCCCCCGGGGGCGTGGGTGACTTAGGGGTAGCAGCTCCAGCAGTCCCCACGGAGGCTGTGGGTGACTTAGGGGTAGCAGCTCCAGCAGTCCCCACGGAGGCCGCGGGGGACTTAGAGGTCAGCAGCTTCAGCAGTCCCCCGGGGGCGTGAGTGACTTAGGGGAGAGCAGCTTCAGTGTAGTAGAGGGGGTAAAGCAGGTCTGGAAGAGGCTGACTTCAATAGATTGCTGTTCCTTTATCTGCTTATTCCTCTTCATAGGGTTGATAAACACTAAACTTGGTAATCGAAGGAAGTATTGACATTGCTAGAATTTCTTTTAAAAGTAGGTGTATCTGGTCAGGGGTGGTGGCTCACACCTGTAATCCCAGCACGCTGGGAGGCCGAGGCAGGTAGATTGCCTGAGCTCAGGAGTTGGAGACCAACTGAGCAAGAGTGTGATCCTGACTCTACTAAAAATAGAAAAACTAGCCAACCATTATGTTGGGTGCCTATAGCCCCAGCTACTTAGGAAGCTGAGGGAGGAAGATCCCTCTAGCCCAAGAGTTTGAGATTTCTGTGAGTTATGATGTTGCCAGGGCACTCCACCCAGACTCTGTCTCAAAAAAAGAAAAAGTTGGTATGTCCTCTTGCCCCAACTGAGGCAGGATCGTCTAGTGGAGGGGACAGACTGTGTGCTGGACAGTCCCAGGGCCAGCTCTGTGCAGTCCCTTGGAGCTGTACCCTTCACCCCATTTTCCTGAGTTGTTTCATCGTGCTACTTCCCAGAGTGGGAAGGAAGAAACAAGATAATGAATCATAGTAGTAGCCCATTGCCAGGCTCACCATCACTGATCAATAATTTCCTTCGTCCATCCCAACAGAGAAAAAGTACAAGGCACCACAGAGAAGCTCTATGCTCTTCAGTTCTCAGAATTTTAAAAGTGCCATGGAAATAGGAAACACACATGATCTTTGCTCCCTGACTATCAAGCAATCAGCAGTGAACACAGCAGTGCACTGGGTATGAACTAGGCTGACAATGAAAAAGAACCGGGTGGCTCGGTGCCTGTAGCTCAGTGGGTGGGGCACCAGCCACATATACTGGAGCTGTCGGGTTTGAACCCAGCCCAGAGCCTGCCAAACAACAATGATAACTACAACCAAAAAATAGCCGTGTGTTGCGGCAGGTGCCTGTAGTCCCAGCTACTCAGGAGGCTGAGGCGAGAGAATGGTCTAAGCCCAAGAGCTGGAGATTGCTGTGAGCTGTGACGCCACAGTGCTCTACCGAGGGTGACAAAGTAAGACTCTCTCTCTAAAATAATAATAATAATAAAAAGACATGGCTTAATTACAAAGAAGGCTTTTCTGCTAGTAATTCTACCCAGCAAGATATAGACTGTATCAACCCACAAAGCTGACCTTTCCAAAGAGAATAGACTTGTACCTCAGTGAGAACATTGAATGCAGTCTTTCCAATCATATTCCTGATATGTTTCAATATTTATTCACATTCACCAAATAACATATAAATCTCTCATATATAATTCTGTGACTTATATTCCTGAGGTTAGGAAACATACCTGAGTACCTAACACAACAAAAACTATCCCAAAGTCTAAGTACCTATACCAGTGGTTCTCAACCTTCCTAATGCCACAACCTTTTAATACAGTTCCTCATGTTGTGATAACCTCAACCATAAAATTATTTTTGTTTCTACTTCATAACTGCAATTTTGGTACTGTTATGAATTGTAATGTGAATATCTGATATGCAGGAGACCTCCAAAGGGGTCATGACCCACAGGTTGAGAACCGCTGACCTATACTATGAGAAAGAGATAAAATCCTGCTACGATGTGGCCACCTATCTCCTGTGTGGCCACCTAACGAGAAGGCCGACTCCCTTAAACTGCACAGTGTTTTACTAGAGGTCCACAGCAATCAAACCATTATAGGTGTGGACAAAATCCAACACAGTGTGTGGCCTAGGGCAGGTCTTTAGTGCTAGTTAATAAACCACATAGTCATGCTGAGAGAAACAACAGTACTCTCCTGGGTCAGTACTCCTAGATTTGTTTTCATCTGGGGCAGCTGCAGTTGACTTAGTGCAGCAATTTCATACCTCCGCGGGGCAGAACTTGAACTGTTATCTAATCTCCCTCCGTGCTCTCCATTGCTGCCTCTGACTTCGTAAAAAAGGGTTTCACTTCCAGAGAGTGTTAGTGGGAACATACAATTAGTACAACGTCTGTGAAGATCAATTTGTTAATATTAAATTTTTTTAAAAGTAACCTTTAAACAATTCCATTTCTAGAAACTTCTACCTGTACAAAAGTGAATTCACAAACATTATTTTCATTAAGTAAAAACTGATAATTACTGACAATAACCTGAATGTCCACAGGAAAGGTTACATGAGATGTGGTATGTCTAATTAGTGGAAGGCTCTTCAGCCTTTGAAAAGAATGAGGTAAGTTTACAGGCTGCCACAGAACGACCTTGAAAGACTAGGAACTGAAGTGCTAACAGTTGTGTAATAATAATGTAATGATAATAATTATGATGAACACTGAAGTATTTCTAGTATGTTCTAGGCACTTTATATTTATTAAATCATTCAATTCTTTGCTTGTTGTTGAGACAGAGTCTCACTATGTCGCCCTTGGTAGAGTGCTGTGGTGTCACAGTTCACAGCAACCTCCAATGCTTGGGCTTAAGCAATTCCCTTGCCTCAGCCTCCCAAGTAGTTGGGACTACAGGAGCCCACCACAACGCCCAGCTATTTTTTGTTGCAGTTGTCATTGTTGTTTTTAGCTGGCCCGGGCTGGGTTCGAACCTGCCACCCTTGGTGTATGTGGCTGGCGCTGAGCCAAATCATTCAATTTTTACCATGACCCTATGGGGTGGGTACTATTGTTACCCCCATTTTATAGATGAGGAAACTGAAGTCCAGTGAAGTCCAGTAATTGGCCCAAAGTCACAAAAATAGTGTCAGGGGCAGCATCTGGTTTGAAGATTAGTGTTCTTTCCTAAACATATACCAGATATGTATGAAAGTGAATAAAAACATATGTGTATAAATGTATGCAAGGTTCTTAACATTAAGTTCGAGAAGTTATCCTAGAAAAAGTGCTACACACCTCACTGCTGAACACCATTGCAGTCAGCTTCCAAGGACTCCCCTTGGAAAGCCATGCACTGACACCAGCACTGAGTCCACCCTTCAAAGCACTCTCTCTAGGACGAGTTCACAAATTTAATTGTCAGACCTTGGGTGATGACAGCTCCAATGGCCATTCCAGAAAAAGAGTTCCAGAATTGCTCTGAAGGGTGGGCTTGGAGGTGGCGTTGATTTGTAGCTTCCCACAGGGGGGCTATGGTCTGAATGTGTCCCCAGCATTTAGTTGTTGAAACTTAATCACCAATGTGCTCTTATTAAGAGGTGCAGCCTCCACTAGCTGATTAAGGCAGCGGGCTCTGCCCTGACCAGTGATCAGTGCCTTCTGGGGCCCTCTGCCTCTTCTGCCCTGGGAGGCCGATGAGGGCACCGTCTTGGAAGCAGAGAGATCAGCCCTCCCCAGACAATCATCTGCCAGCACCTGGATCGTGGAAGTTTTCAGCCTCCAGAATTGTGAACAATACATTTCTGTTCCTTACAAATTGCTCCGTCGCAGGTATTTTGTTATAGCTGCATCCACAGACTAAGATACTCCGTTAAAGAGGGTGTTCAAAGATGGGGTTGGAGTGGGGGGCAGTGTTCCGCTTAAACTATAAAGGAAAAGCAAGACTTCTTCGTTGAGATAGGCGAGGAGAGGGAGAGTAAAAACATCCCAGATGGAGGAAATACGAGAGGAAAGACAGATGCGGGAGGAAGCGTAACCCTGTAACTGGAGATGACCTATCTGTGGTTTAGGGAGTAAATGTGAATAGTGGCCCTGAGGGTGTAGGCAGGAGCCGCCGCACCTAGACGTCATCCACTTGGCCCCAAGAGCACACAGCTTGAGGGGATGATGGAGGTGAGGGGAGAACTTAATTATCTTGCTACTTTTTGGGATATGTCAACATTTGCCTTAAAGGAAGACCTCCTCCATGATCTGCAGAGAAAGCATGGTTTGGTGTTTTCCATATTCACAAAGTGTAAGGAACCCGAGGCGTGCGGAATGAAATGCTTGTTGAGCTTTTACTGTTGATCCAATTCTAACACTTGGAAGGGCTTTAGACCCTCTGAGGGAGAGCGAAAGCTGATCCACACCTAATACTTCTGGATTTGGGATTTGACTCTTTGTGAGAGAGGCCAAAATAGCGTCCAAAATGAGTCTAGACACTGCCTGCCGCAAGTACTCCTCAGCCACCGGAGACAGAGGGGCGGGGGTCTGCGCTTCTCCGCGGCAGTTGTCTGGAGAATACGGCCGTCCAGCCCCCCCTGACCCCCACCCCGACACCAACCTCCCCGGCCTGCTAGCGCAGCCCGGGCGGCCCAGCGCGGGCCAGTGCGCAGGCGCAAGGCCGCCGCGGCGCCCCGGTGCCCCCAATGCTTCTCGGACCCTCCTCTGCGCCCCGGGCTCGGGGTCGCCACCGCCCCCTCCCTGCCTATCCAACCCCGCCCGGGCCAAGCCCGCGCGGCCCCTCGCCCTGTGACCCAGCGTCGCCCCATGCCGGGTCAAAGTCCCCGAGGGCGTGAGCCCCGGCGTCCCTGCCTCTGGGCGGGGACGGGCGGGCCGCACTGGGAGCCGCGGTGGCGAGCGCGCAGCCGGCCCTGACCGCAGGCCCGGGTTCCGCGAGTCCCGCGCGCGCCACCACCGTCGTCGCCTCGGGTCCTCGCGCCGCCCGGTCCCGCCGCCGGTCCCGGCCTGCGCCCCCCTCGCGAGCCCGCGCCGCCGCCGCCGCCATGGCGGAAGTTCGCAGACGTCAGCGGGCCCGGGTTAAAGGAGAAGCCCCCGCCGAGCCCTCCGCGCGCAGCGATGAGGAGGAGCTGGGCATGGCGCCGGCCGGCACGCTGACGGCGCTGCTGAAGCTGCTGGCCGCCGCCTTCTACGGCCTGAGCTCCTTCCTCATCGTGGTGGTGAACAAGAGCGTGCTCACCGGCTACAGGTAGGGCCGGGCCGGCGCGCCCCGCACTGGGCCGCGGAGGGCGGCGCGCTCGGGCCGGCAGGAGGCCGGGCCCGGGGCTAGTCCGCTGCCCGCGGGGCTCCGGGTGAGGGGCGGGGGCGGCGGGGCCAGGGACCGGGCCGGGGCTGGGCTCGGTGCGGGCCGGACGGGCAGGGACGCGCCCTCGTCCCTCGGCCGGCTCCCGCCGGGGTCCCCGCGCCGCCGCGCCCGCTGACAGCCCGCGGGGGACTCGCGCGTCCTCACGCTGTCGCTGTGACCCGGGGGCAGGATTTTCTTTTATAAGGTGTGAAACGGTTGCGGAGATCGATCTTAATGGGAATCCGCTGCGGGCAGCCGATTCAATCGTAGACTCGGACAGGGCGATACTAGGGCTGCCCGAGGCTACAAATCAGCGGGGAGGTCTGACAGCCCGCGGCGAGTTTCCTCCCCAGACTTGTACGTGGATGGGCAAGTGTTGGCGCGGCTGGTTTCAGAGTGCGCAGAGATGCGATGCACCCCTGGGACCCACAGAGCCGCGTTCGGTTCTTCTGACTTTGTTCTCTTTGCCCTTTCTGTAGATTCCCCTCCTCCCTCTGCGTGGGCCTCGGCCAGGTGAGTTGGCGCCCTCACACTGCGCGGCTGTGTCGTTGGAGCTTCTGTGTGTGTCTTTATGTGCGGAACAGTGAACCTGTGTTCTCTGTTTACAGATGGTGGCCACTGTGGCAGTTCTCTGGGTGGGAAAGGCTCTCAGAGTAGTCAAGTTTCCTGACCTTGATAGAAACGTACCTCGAAAGGTGAGAGAAAAGTAACGACTAATACTTTATTTTATGAAATGAGGTCGCTGTATGTTTGGTGCCCTGCATACTTAAAAATCGCAGTACCCAATCTAGAGTGGGGGTAATGAAGGCAAATAAATGGAGTAACATGTGCTAAAAAAGCCCTGCACTCTCTTTAAAGTTAAGGGGGAGAGAAAAGCCACCCTAGGAACCTTCTTCTGTTTTAATGATTGCACACTGGGTAGTCGCGTCCCCGCCACTCTGGCCTGCGCGCCCTGCATCCGTGATTCTTCTGGTTAACTCATACCGTGTTCTGTGGGCCTCTGCTTGAGTCTGCACGTAGGTGAAAGGCCTTTCCTCTTTCTGCTGACATTAGAGCGGTGGGCCAACATTATCATTCCTTAACGCAAATGATGTTTCTGTCCCACATTGATCATACTCATATTTCTGTTTCATCCCTGTCTTTCTCTTTCTGACATAGTTTATCCAAGATTAATGTTCTTTGGGTGTTTCGTGGGGGTCAAAACTGTGGATGAGAAAACTTAAAAACTAATTTTAAGTGGAAAGAATTTTATCATATAAACAAGACTGTTTCTGTTTGAAAGGACCTTGTTTTGCTCTTTATTATTGAGTTTTGTTATCCCTTTTTAAATTTTCTAGACGTTTCCACTACCTCTACTATATTTTGGGAACCAAATCACGGGACTGTTCAGCACAAAGAAACTGAAGTATGGATGACTTTATTTTACTAGTGAGGTTAATATAATGTACTCTTGAAATTGTACTTGAATGTCAAATATTTAACACTTTGTTATTGGTTCGGAAAAAGTGAAAGGACCAGAAAGTTTCTGTTACTAAACAATGAAG